AATAAAAATATCTATATTCAGTCCACAGAAAAGGCAAAATACTGGGGTAGGGGACAAAGAAACAGAACAAATAAAAAAATATGGTCAATTTTAATGCAATTGTATATTAAATGTGAATGGTAGAAACTCACCAATGAAAAGGACAAAGGTGGTCAAATTGGATGGGGAAAAAAAAGACCCAACTATAATGAGCAGCCTACAATACACCCACTTTACTTAAAGAGACATAGAAAGGTTAAAATTAAAATGATACAACAAAATGTAACACATACACACTCATTAAAAGAAAGCTGACTAGCTATATTAACATATGACAAAGCAGACTTCAAACAAACGAATAATGAGAGATGTAAGCAAGTATGTTGTTGTTGTTGTTATGTGCCGTCAAGTCAGCCCTGACTCATAGCGACCCCTCCTTGGGTTTCCGAGGCAGTATCACTACAGAAGTAGGATTGCCCAACCTTCCTTCCGAGGAGTGGCTGGTGGGTTTGAACCGCCAGCTTTCTGGTTAGCAGTCAAGTGCCTTAGCCACTATGCTACCAGAGCTCCCAAGTATATTATAATGATAAAGTAAGTCAATTCATCAGGAAGACATAAAACTCTTAAATGCTTGTGCAACCAACCAAAGAGCTTCAAAATACATGAAAGAAATATCAATAGAACTGAATTTGCAAATAAACAAACCTACAATTACAGCTTGAGATTTCAACACTCCTCTCTCAGCTAAACATAGAAAATGAGTAAGGACAGGAACACACCTAGGAGCTCTGGTAGCATAATGCCTAAGGCACCTGACTGCTAACCAGAAGGCTGGCAGTTCAAAGCCACCAGCCACTCCTCAGAAGGAAGATGGGGCACTCTACTTCTGTAGTGATACTGCCTCAGCAACCCAAGGAGGGGGTCACTATGAGTCGGATCTGACTCGATGGCACACAACAACAGCACACACCTTAAGTGGCTTAAATGACACAATCTACTCAGAACTGTTTTCAACTTCACATGTAATATTGACTAAGATAGGATATATTCTGAAACATAAATTAAACCTTAACAAACTCACAAGAATTAAAATAATACAAAATATGATTTTGTCACGAAGAAATGAAATTAGAACTAGAAGAACGATAATAGGAAAATCTCCAAGCACTTGAATCTGCCCTACAAAAATGCTAAAATGAGTCCTTCAGGCTCAAATAAAAGACCACTAGACAGCAACTTAAAATCATGGTAAGAAATAAATGATCTCCACTAAAGAGAACTACTGTATATTTACATAAATAACTCATGCATTTTATGGTTTGGGGGCCAACTGTCCCCTTCCCCTGGGAGGTATTTTCATAGGTATGCTAATTTTGCTGTAAAAAAGTTAGCATAGTGTACTTATGGACACCTCACAGAGGGAGTGTGGAAAAAACAAATAACACATAAGTTGTTTTTGTTGTTAGGTGCCACCAAGTTGGTTCTGACTTATAGTGACTGTACGATGTAACAAAACATTGCTTGTTCCTGTGCCATCCTCATAATCACTGCTATGCTTGAGCTCATTTTTGCATCCATTGTGTCAAACCAAATTGTTGAGGCTCTTCTTTTTCAATGACCCTCTGCTTTACCAAGCCTGATGTCCTCTTCCAAGGACTGGTCCCTACTGATAACATGTCCAAAGCATGTGAGATGAAGTCTTGTCATCCTTGCTTCTAAGGAGCATTCTGGCTGTACTTCTTTGAAGACAGATTTGTTTGTTCTTCTGGTGGTCCACAGTATATTCAATATTCTTCATCAACACCCTAATTCAAATGCACCAATTCTTCCTTAGTCTTCCTTACTCACTGTCCAGCTTTCATATGCGTATGAGGTGATTGAAAATACGATGGCTTGGGTAAGGTACATCTTAGTTTTCAAAATGACGTATTTGCTTTCTAACACTTTAGAGAGGTCTTTTTGCAATATGTCCTTTGATTGACCACTGCTTTCATGGGCAATGATTGTGGATCCCAATAAAATGAAATCCTTGACAACTGCAATGTTCTCTCCATTCATTGTGATGATATTTACTGGTCCAGTTGTGAGGATTTTTAGTTTAGTTTTTTTTTTTTTTTTATGTTGTAGTGTAATCCATACTGAAGTCTGTAGTCTTTGATCTTCATCAGGAAGTACTTTAAGTCCTTTTTTCTTTCAGCAAGCAAAGTTGTGTCATCTGCATATTGCAGGTTGTTGAGTTTTCCTCCAAACCTGATGCCACATTCTTCTTCATATAGTCTAGCTTCTCAAATTATTTGCTCAGCACACAGATTGAATAAGTATAGTGAAAGGATACAACTCTGATGCACACCTTTCACAATTTTAAACTACACAGTTTTACCTTGTTCTTTTCAAACAAATGCCTCTTGTTCTATGTCAGCTCACCATGAGCACAATAAAGGGTTCTGGAATGCCCATTCTTCACAATGTTTTCTATCATTTGTGATGATCCACACAGTCAAATGCCTTTGTATAGTCAATAAAACACAGGTAAATCTTTCAATTCTCTGCTTTGCTTTCAGTCAAGATCCATCTGACAGCAACAACAGTATCCCTCATTCCATATCCTCTTCTGAATCCAGCTTGAATTTCTGGCAGTTCCCTATATGTAAAATCTTTCAATATTACAAGTTGAGGCTTGAGTTATTTCTAGTTATTTCAACTTGAGAAATGCTGAGCTTATTCTTCCTTTTTTGCTTTTCTAACTTCAGATATCTTTGCACATTGTCCTTTTGAGCCACCCTTTTAAATCTTCTGTTCAGCTCTTTTACTTCCTCATCTTTACCATTCACTTTAGCTACTCTACATTCAAGAGCAAGTTTCAGAGTCTTTTCTTTCTTTTCTGTCTGTTAAATGACTTTAGCTTTCTTCATTGTATGATGTCCTTGATGTCATCCCACAACTCATCAGTTCTTTGGTTATTACTGTTCAGTCAGTTTCACTCCGGTGTATTCCACCTGGCCAGGTCCATGTATATAGTCACCATTTATGTTGAAAAAAGGTTATTTCCAGTGGATATATATTTTGTCTTATAAAATTCTATCATATTTAAAAGCTAGCAAGCTGCCATCTAGATGCAACAATGGGTGTCTCCTCATCAAGAAGAAAGAAGAAAACCAAATGAATGGAAACAATCAGTCCTAGCGACTGGTACGCCATCTGATCTGCAACCTATACAACTATGAGACCAGAAGAACTAGATGGTGCCTGGCTACCACTGTCATCCACTTAGAAGGGATGTATG